ATATCAACACCAAAGAAAAGTCCCTCTTTTTTCTTTCTTCTTCCTTTCAAATTCATAAAAAGAGAATTTCAGCAATACAATTCAACCAATCACCCTTTTAAATGTTTCAAAAAAATGGAATAAAAGAAACAGTAAAAAAAAAACGAAAAGAAAACTTGGCAAATATATGCAAAAACAGAAACAAAAGAAAAACAATAAGGAAGTGAAATATATGTTGCAGGTAAATAAAACAACTGTTGAAGAGAAAATGCTAAAGCTTTGAAAAGGTGCACAAAAAGAACACTGAAAAAAACAAGTGGTAAATTGTTCTGTTTTGTATCTAAACGAAATATAAAGCTAACTGTAAATCAACCAAAGAAAAAAAATTTTTTTTTGAACACCAAATACTGTGTGCAGTTATTTTTGTATTACTGAAAACTGTGAACGTTGATATCTGTAATGAAAGATAAAAGATAATTGTTCTTTCTGAAAGAGCTTAACAAAAAGAAAAAAAACAAAAAATAAAAACTGAAAAGTAAAGAAATAAATGAGTCAAGAAAGTACAATTTCTTAAAACCTGATAAATTGATCAGTCTTACTACTTACCGTAACACATCACTACTGTTAAGTTCCAGTCGCTGAATTATACGAAAAAAATTTCTTCTTACAAAAACATTAGAAAAAAATCATTTCAACTGCTAAATTACTAATCCACTAAAATTCCACCATACTCTTCAGGAAAGCCTTGAATGTTCAGCATTTCAGTAAACCAAAAAAATTTCAATGCTTTGTATCCTTCTCTTCCAACAAAGGAAAAAAAAAGAAAAGGGGGAAAAAACATTACGAATAAACGAAAAAATAACGGCACAAAAAATTACAAAATGAAAATAAACGAGAAAATATAGAAATAAAAATATTTATATATAAATATACTTCTAACCTATAGAATTTATCTTTTCTCTGAATTAGTATAATCGTTAAACTTACTGACAACAAATAAAGCTCTAAATAAACAATATCACATTCAGCCAAAAAAAAAAAAAAAAA